GGCCCAGAGCCAGAACTTGTCCCCTAGGGGTCTGGGCTAAGACCAAAATTTGGGTCTCCCAAATTCTAGTACAGTATTCTTTCCTCCATACCCTGCTATTACTCAAGAGCAAAGAAAGTAAAGAGTATAATGTGATCATTTCAAAACAGTATGGCCAACATCTGTCACTGGCTAACCTAACACCAGCCTTTGCTTCCTCACAGGCATCCAACTGCAGAGGCTGGAAAGGTTTCTTTCCCAGCCTGCTTTGTAGCAAAAGGTAGCCACTGACATAGCTCTCGCCAATGAGGCAGAAACAGAATGCAGCTGAGGGCTTTCAGGAAAGTTTTGTTTTCCTGAGTAAGAGACAGATCTAGCTGACAACACCCTTCCCCTACTCTTTCCTGTGTAAAATAGAACAGTCTTTTTGCAATTATGCAGTGTCATCTCTGAGAACAAAGGGCCAATATGTTAAGAATGGTGAACTTGAAAGGTACTAAAAACCTGAGTCTTTGATGGCATCACTGAACAGCTAAACCAACACCATCCTCCAGACTGCTTATAAGAAAAAACAAATCCCAATTTGTTAAAGCCATTGTCAGACTTCCTCTTAGAGTTAAATGTATTTATTTTTATAATGTTTATTTATTTATTTATTTATTTTGAGAGAGGGAGGGAGGGACTGAGCATGAGTGGAGGTGAAGAGCCCAAGTAATGTCATTTTGAAATTAAGACCTCCATTAAGAGCAACCTCGCGCTGCACATAGCCCTAGTTCCTCAGACTGCTCAAGGCTAAAGCCATCCTCGGACCGCCCTCAGATCAGCTAATCAAAAAACATTCCTGTGGTCTGAGTCAATGCTGGGAACTGTAGACAGTTATTCTGTACAAACTAGCCAATTTCTCACCGCTTGCCTGAACCCCACGTGGGCCCTTTGAACTCACCTCATAATTGGTCATTTTGAAAGGATTCTCAAAAGTCATGATTGGGTCTCACCAAATGTAATGAACACCTCACAGATACTGAATGGTCAAAGCTGTTACCATGGGTGCTGCTGTACAACTGTAATTGGTGCTTATGTGACGATGCCATACGTACAATGTGTGCACTGTAACACCCCCGTCCCTTACTGCTTAAAAACCCTGCTCACTATTGTTCGGGGCTTCACCTTCTGCCACTACACCGGTAGGCGGGTCAGCCCCTGCTCGAGCTTGTAATAAAGACCCTTTTGTACTTGCATCGGTGTCGGCTCCTTGGGGGTCTCAGGGGATTCACGAATCGGGCACAACAGAGGGAGGGGCAGACAGAAAGGGAGACACAGAATCCGAAGCAGTCTCCATGCTCTGAGCTGTTAACACAGAGCCTGACGCAGGGTCTGAACTCATGAACCAGGAGATCATGACCTGAGCCGAAGTCTGATGTTTAACAGACTGAGCCACCCAGGTACCCCAAATGTATTTCTAACTGATATAATCAGCATTTCCGAGTATTTGGAATATACTTAAAAAAAAAAAAAAAAAAGAGGTTTCTAGTTAAATATGGGTCAAATATTAAGTAAAGTAAAATTAAGTAGGAAAAGAATTTGGTGAAGATAGTGGAAGGGGCAACATAGTTTTCTAGTCTCTGAATCCCCGTAAAACACACACAGCAACTATGAGGCAAAACCAAAAATTCATGTATCTGTTACAACAAAACCAGGTGACAAGGTATCACCATAAATCCAAAATACAAGCAGGACAAACCATCCATAGTCAAAAGACCTGCATAGTGTTAATATTTCTACAGGAAGAAGAAAGAGCAATGAGGGTGGCATCTAAGGAGGCAGAGAATGGGAAAATCTCCAGCCAATAAGTAGTCACTGCAAAGTGCAGAAGCCCAATTTGAGACTAGCAGCTGAACCTGAGAGGAGCTTTCCCCCCTCCATTACCAGGGCTCATGCAGAAAGGACTGAAACAGCTGAAGCAGTCTAGCACCTATAGTTTCAGAACCGACATGCCAAGCTCCCTTTTACGACAGCTTTGAAGAGCCAAAAATTAAGTCCTCCATTAAGAGCAACCTCTGGCTGCATGTAGCCCCAGTCCCAGTTCCAGGAAAAGCCTCAGACTGTTCAAGGCTAAAGCCATCCTCAGACCACCTTCAGTTCAGCTAATCAAAAAAAAAAGAGGGGCGCCTGGGTGGCACAGTTGGTTGAGCGTCCGACTTCGGTTCAGGTCATGATCTCACGGTTCGTGGGTTCAAGCCCCACGTCGGGCTCTGTGCAGACAGTTAGCTCAGAGCCTGGAGCCTGCTTCGGATTCTGTGTCTCCCTCTCTCACTGACCCTCCCCTGCTCACGCTGTCTCTCTCAGAAATAAACATTTAAGGAAAAAAAAAAAAAAGAAAAAGAAAAAAGAAACACTCCTATGGTCTGAGTCAAGGCTGGGAACTGCAGATACAAACTAGCCAATTTCTCACTGCTTGCCTGAACCCCACATGGGCCCTTTGAACTCACCTCATAATTGGTCATTTTCAAAGGATTCTCAAAAGTCATGATTGGGTCCCACCAAAAGTAATGAACACCTCACAGATACTGAATGGTCAAAGCTGTTACCAGGGGTGCTGTACAATTGTAATTGGTGTTTATGTGATGATGCTACATGTACTGTAACACCACCATCCTTTACTCCTTAAAAATCCTATTCATTATTGTTCTTCGCTTCATCTTGCTGCCATGACACCGGTAGGCAGATGAGCCCCTGCTCGAGCCTGTAATAAAGACCCTTTTGTATTTGCACTGGTGTCGGCTCCTTAGAGGTCTCTGGGTCTTGCGATTAGGGCACAACAGCTTCATACTGAGAAAAAGCTGCTGGAAGTAGAATAGAAAATAAGCAAGAGAGGGACAAGAGAGAAGAGGAAAGAGGAGCAGACCAAGTATTTTAGGAGAACAGAATCAGGATATCCCAGAGAACAAGACACCATGGTTTTTTTTAAATACTACAAATAAGACAGAAGTGGGAGCTTTGTGAAATCAGTTAAGTTAACTGAACTTGCCTTGCTCTAAAAATTCAGAGAGATTAATTCCACATAAAAATGAGCAACAGGGGCGCCTGGGTGGCTCAGTTGGTTAAGCATACAACTCTGTGTTCATTGCGTTGAGCCTGCTTCTGATCCTGTCTCCCCCTTTCTGGCTCTCCTCCCTCCTTCTCTCCTTCTCTCTCTCTGTCTCAAAAATAAACGTTAAAAATTAAAAAAAAAAAAAAAAAAAAGCAACAAAGTATTTGAGGTCAAATACCATGTAAAGTGATTGTATGAAAAAAGAAAAAGGAGAATAACGTGGCTTTGGACAAAGAAAGTATGCCAGGAAGATGTGTCCACAAAACAAAGCAAAAAAAACAAATAGCCTGTAACCTATTATGTCAAAATGAGCTAAGACTTTAAGAAAATGAATCCACACCTACCCATATCATATTAAAACTTCAAAAATAAGATAATGAATCTTCACAACTGCAATAATTAGACTAACAACTTACAGATGGAAGCCATAAGACAATGAAATATCTTCAAAATGCTGGGGGCGGGGGGGGGGGGGGGGGGGGGGGGGGGGGGGGGGGGACTGGCAACCTAGATATCTCTATAGAATGAAATATCCTTCAAAAATGAAAGTGAAATAAAACATTTTTAGACAAAATCTGAGAGACTTCATCACAAGCAGATCTATTCTAAAGCAAATGCTCAGGGATGTTTCAATGATAGTAAGAAAATAATCAGAGATGAAAACCTGGAGATGCAGTGAGGGTGGGGAAGAATAGGAAGGGTCAATACGTGGATAAATCTAAATGAATATTAGCTGTATAGAACAAGAATAATAATGTTTTGCAGATTTTAAAATGTAAACTGAATTAAAATGCCCTACAATAAGGGCATGTAGGTGCAGAGGGGAACAGTCACAGTTAAAGTATTCTAAAGACTTTGCGTTGTTTGGGAAGAGGACAAAAGGACCAATTAATATTAGACTCTGATAAAGATATATGTTATATTCTTTTAGATAGAAAGAATATAAAACTTCTAAGCTAACTACGGGGCGGGGGGGGAGGGAGGAATAAATAAAATACTCAACTGAATTAAAAAAAACACCAACTTTATTTGAAGGCACTGACAATAAAGCTACCAAGGGAGTGAAATGGACAGGGCCAAGGTTCCAAAAGAAGGAAAAGCAGAGGTGAACTATAACATCTGCAGCTGGGATGGACTGCGGCCATACTGGGAGCTTCACTGGTAAAGGTACACAAAGGACATGGGAACAGACAGACCCCCAGAGGGCATACAAGGAAAAGATTTCAGAGCACACCCACAAGCCAAGCTTAAAAGAGTTTGAATCAACAGATTTGGATGATGTTTCAGATTAGTAAAGTCATAATGTAAGAAAAATGAAACAAGTGGTTGTAATAAGGGAAGGGTAGGGGGTTAAGAACCCACAACATTTCAGTTTTTTAAAAAAATGCCTACATCTCAATGGCTGCCAATTCTTCCTCTGAAATATATCCTACACTGTGTCCCTGATGCTGGTGGCTCCCCCTAGCAATCTATTCTGGGTACTGCAGCTAAAGCAATTTTAACCAAAACCCGCAGCAGGGGGCAGCGGCCCATACAAGAGTGAAGCTGTGGCACAGGGACATTCTCTTGACTAAAATTTCACTCCCCTTGCCAATGCCAAAATTTCCCCTAGGTTCTGCCCTAGATCCTATTAATATGATCAGTCTCACTAATGCCCTGAAGGAACCTGCTTACTTCTGGGCAAATACTCAGAATACATTTTTAACAGAAGGTCTTAGCTATCTTGCTTAGTTTACTTCTGATTGCTTCATACACTCATTCAGTCAAACTACTGTGTGTTAGGTCACCATTATACTATATGCCTGCTGGATGCTGGAGGGGAGCAGGAGAAAAATGTACCACATGCCATAACAAAGGTTACATGTGGGGTTAATACAAAACAAAACCTAGAACAAACTCAGAGAAGTGTGGTGTTCGGAGCTAATATTACCTGGCTTTAGAGGGAAATACTCTTCCAAAAGTTACTCGAATCCACAAATATAAAAACTTTCTGGCGATGCATCTGAAAGAAGCAAAGAAAGGATATACACATTTTAAAACTCCATTTGACTTATGTTATTAATTTTCTGGAAAGTAGAAGGAAACTAAGGTCCCATGGGGAGAGATGCTAGCATGCGTAAAAAGGTGAATCATAGCTGATCCTGTATCAAATAGAGCATAGGATGGGACAGACTTATAAAGCCAAGATCAAGCAGGTTTTTTTTTTTTTTTTTAAGTTTTAAGCCCCACTGTGGGGCTCAAACTCACAACCCTGAGATCAAGAGTTGCATGCTCTATCTACTGAGCCAGCCAGAAGTCCCAAACAGAATATTTTTAAAAAAATACTTTCAATATATTTTGTCAGTAAAGACTTCAGAGTTGAGGAAAAGGAAGTAAATGACAATACTTTTATTCATATTATTCTTATTGCCTACAATACCTAGCAAAAGCCCACTTACCTCTCAAGGCTCATCGTCAATGCTTGCTCCTATGTGAAGCCTTCCTAGACCTTCCCTAACCCAAACATAGTGAGTAGCTTTATACCCTCAAAATTGTTTCAACCCTTAGTATAATGTAATGTTATGATACCAAATCACAGTAATGGGCTTACAGGGTGCCTGTTGTTCCCTCTGCACCATGAGCCCCTGAGAGCAGAGACCATGTCTTATGGCATCCCAAGTACCTAGCACAGTGCCTGGTACACACACAAAAAAGTGGGCATGTCTTGGCCAGTTAGTCTCCAGGTTCAGCTTGGAACATTCTTTTTCCTTCTGCCCTTTATCTAGCTTATTCTTACATTATCCTTTAGGACTTGACTTAAACCCCACTTCCTCTGGGAAGTTCCTGCTGGCTACACCAGTGGGACTTTTATAGCCACGTGGCTCTGCAGTGCCACATTCTCTGTCTTATAGCACTTACCAGGCTCTGTTGTGACTTGTTTAACAGTTTGTCAAGCCCATGTGATTTTAAGCTTTCATGAGGTCATGGACCAGGAATGTCTTATTCACCTAGTATTCTCAGCATTGAGCTCACCACCTGGCTAAATAGGCAACTGATAATTTTTTTTGTAGTTTTATGGCTTTATTAATCCAAATACAATGTGCACATAAGCTCTCTATTCATTTTTTTCGCTGCAGAGCCTGGCATTGGGATTGGTGACTCTGATGGCCAGCTGGGCTGCTCTTTCCGCAGTGGCTTTGCAGTTCTTGGAGAAGATATTGTGAACAATTTCTGCACAGTAAGATTACTATACAGCAGCAGCACTTCAAGCTCCTTGACATTGTGGACTAGGAACTTCAAGAGCAACTGGGCAGCACTGCTTTGTTTCTTGTTGCTCTTATAACCAATGCTGGATATCAAGATCTGGCCCTTGAATCTTCTGCACACCCTATTGTCAATGACTCTGGGTTTCTGCCAGTTGAACTTAATTTTGACATACTGGTCTGACTGGTGACTTCTTTTTAATGATCTTGGGCTTTACCAGAGGTCTGAAGGCAGCCATGATGCCAGCAGGAAATGGCTGTCACCTCCACAGGCAGCACCAAGGAAGAGAAGGCCTGATAAATTTTTAAATGAATAAATGAATGCCTTTGATAGACCTAATCAAGAGTAGTGGGAAATGATAATTTTTCTCAGACTACATTTAGACTTTTTCTGGAAGACTCCTTATAGCTTAACACATTGTGGGGCACAACTAGAGAATGTGAATGAAAACACAGAATGACAGATTTTAAGTCTGCAGATTCCTAAATGTCCTCAGCGACAAAGAGGAGGCAAGGTCCCCACCCAAATAACTGAGATAGGAAAAGAAGAATCATCCCCTCATTTTAACCAAGAAGGGAGAACAACGGAAACATCATTGCAGGCAGGTGACCACTTGCAAGCTCACCTGATACGCAATTCTCGTAACCGGTTCCTTCGGGTCCAACCATGTGAGACATGATACTGCACTGGATGACCAGCACTAGGTAGCTCTCTCCAGATCCCAGAGAAGGCAGAAGACTTCTTGTTGGCCAGTATCTTCAGAGGATAAGGTTTCTTAACTGCACCATTCCTAAAAGACCTTAAATTTGAGGAGTAATGGGGAAAAGAGAGAATCAAATTATCTCCATATGTGATGCAAAGATCTTTTAATGCACAAGTGAAATTAAAGAGATAAGTTCAATGAGACAGACTGATAAAAATGTGTTAAGGACAATAAGTAGCCCAATCTCAGATAGAAATACCTGCCATTCACAATGATGTGTCAAACATCCCCAAGGCTACCCTAGGTTCAGTGATGATTAGAAAGGAGGACTCAGAGGGGGCACCTGAGTAGCTCAGTCCGTTAAGCATCTGACTTCAGCTCAGGTCATGATCTCTCAGTATGTGAGTTCAAGACCCACGTCAGGCTCTGTGCTGACAGCTCAGAGCCTGGAGCCTGCTTCAGACTCTGTCTCCCTCTCTCTCTCTCTGGCTTCCCCTCCACTCATGGTCTGTCTCTCTCTCTCCTTCAAAAAATAAACATTAAAACAATAGAAGGACTCAGTACTTAGCATATAGTTATACTCATGACTATGATTACAGCAAGAGGACACAAAGCAAAATCAGAAAAAAGGGGAATGGGGCAAAGGCTGCTAGAAATCAAGTGCATGCTTCTAAGAGTCCTCTCCCAAGGGCAGTCACATAGGATACTTTTAATTTCTCCAGCATCAAATTGTGGGAACGTGTGTGAAGTGTTGTTTACCAGGGAAACTTTTTAGATACTCAATGCCCAAAGTTTTTACTGGGGGCTGGTCTTAAACGCACCTTCTGCCTATCATGTATCAAAATTCTAGACTCCTAGAAGGAGAGCAAGTATTCAGCATATACTACGTTGTTTGCACAAACAGTTAAGGCACAGTTAACTACCCTTAGCAGTTGGGGAATGGTAAGAACCCTCCTCAAATCTAAATTTCTAGACACTAGTCAGGGGTCAACCTTGTAAGCAGGACATTCTTTTCTTTTTTTTTTTCTTTTTTTTTAATGTTTATATTTTTTTGAGAGAGAAAGAGCAGAGACAGGGAGACAGTGGATCCGAAGCAGGCTCCACACTGACAGTGGGGAGCATGATGTGAGGCTTGAACTCCTGCACTGCGAGATCATGACCTAAGTGGAAGTCAGACCCTCAGTTGACTGAGCCACCCAGGCATCCCTCTTTTTTTTTTTTTTAATGTTTTTTTATTTATTTCTGAGAGAGAGAGAGAGAGAGAGAGAGGGAGAGCAAGCGAGCACATGTGCGCAGGGAAGAGACAGAGAGAGAGGGAGACACAGAATCCAAAACAGGCTCCAGGCTCTGAGCTGTCAGCACAGGCCCTATACCAGGCTCAAACCCACGAACTGTGAGATCATAACCTGAGCCAAAGTCAGACACCCAACTGACTGAGCCACCCAGGCAAAACCCTTCCCCCCCGCTGTTTTTAAATATAGGACTTGAACTCAAAACCCTGAGATCATGACCCAAGCTGAGATCAAGAGTCAGATGCTTAACTGACTGAGCCACCCAGGCCCCCACAAGCAGGACTTTCTAAGGATAGCAGTCTCTGGCCTGCAATATTAATTCTTTTTTGCATGGATGGAAAACAAAAATAGAGAAAATCAAAAAGAAGTTCGTTCTTTAAAAACCCTAATAAAATTGACAAACAGTCAATGAAACTGGTCAAGAAGAGAGAGAAAAAGCCAAAGAAACCAGTATTAGTAGGAAAAAGGAAACATCATTACTGATCCTAAGAATATATTTGTAAACAGCTTGATACAAATAAATTTGAAGATGCAGGTAAAATGGATAAACAGCTACAAAAATAAAACTTATCAAAACTACACAAGAAGAAGTATAAAATGTGAACAGTCCAATAACCATTAACAAAGTAAACAGTAATAGGGGTGCCTGGGTGGCTCAGTTGGTTTAGTGTCCGACTTCGGCATACATCATGATTTCACGGTTTGTGACTTCAAGCCCCACACTGGGTTCTGTGCTGACAGCTCAGAGCCTGGAGCCTGCTTCCAATTCCGTGTCTCTGGCTCTCTTTGATCCTCCCCTGCTCACACTGTCTCTCTCTCTCTCCCAAAAATAAACAAAAATTAAAATATAAAGAAACAGTAATAAAAACCTTCCCACAAAGAAAGCTCCAGGCCTAGATGATCTTGCTGTCAAATTCTGCCAAAATTTAAGGAAAAATTCACTCCAATTTCACATAAACTATTCTAAGAACTTTTTTTTTTAAACGAACACTACCCCTCCTAAATCTATATAAAATTAGGTGGTTTTAGGAGACTAGCCATAACCTTAACACAAAACCTAACAAGGACATTTGAAAAATGAAAAATTTACATCAATCTCACTAATGAATACATATGTAAAAATATAACCAAAATAGCAGCTAACTGAAATCAGCAACATAGAAAAAGGATAATATAACACAAGATGGGATTAATTCCAGAAAGGGAAGCTAAATTAATGTTAGAAAATTCAACCATGAAGGGGAGCCTGGCTAGCTCAGTGGGTGGAGTGTACAACTCTTGATCTCGGGGTTGGGAGGTCAAGCCCCACTCTGGGTGCAGAGATTGCTTAAAAATAAAACCTTAAAAAAAAAAAAAAAAAAAAGGAAAATCAACCACTAAGACAATCATATAGGGGCGTTTGGGTGGCTCAGTTGGTTAGGCATCCTTCTCTTGGTTTCAGCTCAGGTCATGATCTCGTGGCTCATGGTTTGTGCGTTCGAGCCTAGTGTCAGGCTCTGTGGTGACAGCACAGAGCCTGCTTGGGACCTCCCCCTGTCTCTGCCCCTCCACTGCTTGCACACATTCTATCTTTCAATATAAACAAACATTTAAAAAAGAAAAGACAATCATATAGTCATTTCAATAGATGCAGAAAACACAGTTGATTAAAAAATATTCAATGTCCATTCATGACAAAAAGTCTTAAACTAGCCTTAGTCTGATAAGGGCTATCTAAGAAAAACTTATGCAGATACCATACTTAAGGTGAAACACGGACAGCCTTCCCTTTGAGATTATGAACATGACAAGTGAGACCAATACCACTTACATACAACATTGTACTGGAGGTCCTGACTGGCAGACTAAGGCAAAAAAGGGAAACTATAGTTATAAAGATTAGAGGGGGGAGCAATAAAGTGCCATTTTGCATATGACATGATTTATGCATGTAGAAAACCCAAAAGAATCTACAGCCATGTTACTAAAATTTATAAGAGTCTAGGCAATACTATTTGATACAAAGTCAAAATCAAAAACATATATACAGTGGATTCTTGTTACTTGCTATGCATTCTATAAAGTCAACTCAAACCTTCAGTGACTTGGGTAAGAAGAATTAACATTGTTAAAATATCCGTACTTCTCAAAGGCATCTACAGATTTAATGCAATCCTTATGAAAATTCCAGTGGCATTTTTCACAGAAATAGAACAAATAATCCTAAAATTTGTATGGAACCAAGAAAGAACTTGAAGAGTCAAAGCAATTCCGAGAGAAAAGAACAAAGCTGGAGACCCCATGGTCCCTAATTTCAAACTATATTACAAAGCTATAGTTATCAAAATAGTAGAGCATTGGCATAAAAACAAACATATAGATCAATGAAACAAAATAGAGGGCCTAGAAATAAACTTATGCTGGTATAGTCAATTAATTTATGACAAAGGAACCAAGAATATGTACAGTAGGGAAATGGACAGTTTTTTTAAATTTATTTTTATTTATTTATTTTTTTTAATGTTTATTTTTTTTAATTTTTTTTTTTATTTCTAGGAGAGAGAGAGAGAGACCGTGTAAGCAGGGGAGGGTCAGAGAGAGAGGGAGTCACAGACTGAAACAGGCTCCAGGCTCTGAGCTGGCAGTCAGCACAGAGCCCGACATGGGGCCCGAACCCACGAACCGCGAGATCATGACCTAAGCGAAAGTCGGACGCTTAACCGACTAAGCCACCCAGGCGCCCCGGACAGTTTTTTTTTTAATAAATGATACTGGGAAAACTGGACAGCTACATGCAAAAGAATAAAGCTGGACCACTATCTTACACCATATACAAAAATTAACTCAAGACTTGAACGTAAGACATGGAACCATAAAACTCCTAGAAGAAAACATAAATGGTTAAGCTCCTTGACCTTGGTCTCAATGATTTTTTGGATTTGACAACAAAAGCAGAAATCAACACATGGGACTAAATCAAACTATTTCCTTTGCTGTGCAGAAGGTTTTTAATCAAAATGCAAAAGCAATCTACTGAATGAAAAAAATCTGCAAATCATGTCTGATAAGGGGTTAATATCCAAAATACATAAAGAACTCTTACAACTCAATAACAAAAAAACAATCCAACTTACAAATGGGCAGATGTGGGAAAATAGGTTCAAAAATTCCTTATACTTACATAAATGAGTTTAAGAAGTTTAGGGCAGAAAGCTCTGCCACAGGGCAAAAGTGCCCAAGGTTAGTTAGCAAGATATTATAATAGGGTCATGAGTAACTCCTTATAGGAAACTACTTTCCATCTGTCACCAATATACTATTGTGCTCTGATCACAAACACCACTTGCCCCCAGGCCCTTTGCTTCTTACAAACTCAAGTTAATGACTACTACCTGATTGTTTTCTTCACATTTGCCACATGTCTAAGATCATGAGAGCTCAATAAATAGAGACAAAATCCCCATTCTGGGCTCTTGTCTCCTCCCAGATATTAGCCTCTCTCATATTCAATTTTGCATCCACTCTTGCTGGACAAGCAAGAACTCCAGACTCACAGTCTGTGACAGGCAGAGAATCTGAATAGACATGCGTCCAAAGAAGGCATACAAATGGTGGACAGGTACATGAAAAGATGCTCAATATCCCTAATCATCAGGGTAATGCATATCAAAACCACAATGAGGGGTGCCTGAGTGGCTAAGTATGTTAAGTGATTGACTCTTAATTACATCTCAGGTCATGATCGGAGAGCTGTGAATTCGAGACCCAGGTCAGGCTCTGCACTAACTGCGGAGACTGCTCTCAGTGCAGAGCCTTCTTGGGACT